AAACCCTGACACCGAGGAGGGCCCCTCGCTTTCGCTGGCGGGCAGCAGGGGGACTGGAGAGTGGAGCGGAGGGACTCGGTGGGGGCTGGGTGCGGGCTAATAAACCGGGACGGAAACGGAATCCGCGGCCTGGGCAGCGTCTGTCTGGTACTCGCCAGGGTTGGGGCGACGGTGGGGACACCGAGACAGGGTGCCATCTCCATCCGGTGGCACCGCAGGACGAAGGGCTCCCCCATTTGCCCCGAGCGTGGGGTGGGATGCGAGGCCGTGGCAAACCACCGACTCCCCCCGTCGGGCCATGATCCGGCCCCTCAAGTGACCAGCTCCCTTCCCGGCTCCTTCCTGTGCAAGACAATGGGGCAGGAAGCAGGTGTCGGGGGCCTCGAACCCACGCGGCCGCCTACTCTGCGGCTGGAACGGGGCTTCACAGCGCCCCCGCGTGGCAGGCGCAGGAGAACCGTGTCCCCCCAGATGGCTGATAATCCTCTTCGCTTTGACCCCACAGGACTCTCTCCTCTCAATCCTGGAGATGAGGCCGAGGGGACGTAGCCCCATCTTTCAGATAAGACAGTCGAGGTCCCAAAACGCCAAAGAATGTGTCCAAGGTCATGCCATTAGTGAGTCTAGAGTTGAGACTGGAGCCTAGGCCTTCTGGCTCGAGATGACCTCCCTTCAGCCTCTGGGTTCAATGAGACACCCAGGTCAGAGCTTCAAGCCTTTTTTATTCCATTTTGGCCGGTTTGTATAAAAATACTCTCTTTAGGAAAATAAATAGCAGCTGTCCTTGCTGTGAAGGCTTGGATTCCCTGGAGCTAAAGGCTTCTCAAAGCTGGGGTCTGCAAGTCAGCTTGTCACGGAAGCCTCTGGCACCCCCAAGCTGTGGCATTCCGGAGGGGCAGGCAGAATCCCCTGGTCCAATCACCTGCTGCTGCTGGCGGTGGGGCTGGGTGATTTAGTGTTCTAGGCTGGTAGAGTGGCACCTTCTGTCAGGGTACAGTTGGATGGATCACAGGAAGAGGGTGGTGGAGGGTGTGGGGGTGGTCTGGCAGGGGTTAGGGCTCCAGAGGGCCTCTGGGGGTCTACAGAGTGTCTGGACTGCCAGGATGCCTCCGGCACAAGTGGGAAACATTTTGTCTCGGATTTAGTGCAAACTGTGCTAGAGACCGGCTCTAGAGAAACAGTGGGCCGCTTTGGCGGCTCCAGCCTGGTTCTACCATAAAGCCAAAGATAGCCTCCTCTGGAGGGATGGAGAAGAACACGATGGGTTGGGTGTGGGATACGGTCCAGGCCAGCTGGACCCATGGGGGAAGGGAGGAGATTCGGCGAGGATGGCGCCTGCGGGGTGTAGGACTTGGGGGCCTCACAAAGCAAGGAGGGTGGGGGACCCCAGGGGGTCAGAGGAGGGGTCCCCGCTGCTGCTGCTACTCTTACGATGAGCTGAGGCGCAGGGCTCAGGAGTGCTGGGGTAGGTGAAGACCAGACTGGGGGTGAAAGGAGTCAGGGAGGGTGTGGTCATGAGGGTGGGGGTGTGCAACGCCTCCGGTTCCAGCACGGGCCCCGGGGAAAGGGAGATACAAGGGACAGGGCGGCAGGGGGCTGGTGGGCTTCTGGTGCCGCTCGTGCTGCCTGTGTCCCTCTCCTTGGCTCCTTCTGGGATTTTGCAGATGGGTCGGTGGGCTTCCAGCACGAGCTCCAGGCGTTCCTTCTGCTTCTGCAGCTCCTCGATCTCTCGCTGCAGCCCGGACTTCTCGTCTTCCAGTTTGTCTGTCTCCTGTAGCGGGTTGGGAGAGGAGTCAGGAAGATGAGGGCCGAATACCCTGAGCCTCAGAGGGTGGTGGCGGTGGTGTGGGGAGTCCCCAGCACGTCTGGACTGCGACTCCCATGAGCCCCTGGGAGAAAATGGGCATGATTCCCATCAGGCCCAGGCGTCTCAGAAGATTGCTGGCCCATCTTTGGCTGTGCTCAAGCGAGATGCGCTGCAGCCAATTTTTAATCACTTTTTCGTCATCCTTTTTCCAGAAGGACTGCCTGCCCCTCAGGCAGGGAGCCAGGGTGGTGGTGGTGATGGGGGCTAGGCATACTGGGGCTCCACGGGCTCCTGGGAGCCAGGGCCCCTCTGAGGCTCAGTGGGCCAGGGCCTGGGTGCCCTCCATACGGGCTGGTGCTCACCGCCTGCAGGAAGTCGGTCAGTTCCTTCCTCCGGTTCCTGCACTTGGCCGCTGCCAGCTTGTTCCGCTCGCGCCTTACTCGGCGACGCTCTTCTTCCTCTGGGCTGATCTGGAGGGTAAGGAGTGAAGGCAGCAGTGAGGAGGACCCTGGGCCACTGGCTACCTGGGACTCATCTCCTGAGGTGGTTTGGTGGTAGGTAGGACACCGACAGAGGGCGTGGCAGTGTAGGGGCCCCTTCAGCCTATGGTTTAGGCTGAGGCACAAGACAGCTTGAATGGGTCAACCTTTCTCCTCCTACCTAGTGTTCATGCTCAGTCCTCTCCCGTAATGCCTTCCCTCTCTCTCAGGACTCAACTAAGATGTTGGCACCTCCAGGAAGCCCTCTCGTTCCCCAGTCAGAAGTGGCCTTTCCTTTTCTGACCACCTGGGGGGCGTTACCCCTTATTGCAGGACCCTCATCCTGGATCTCTGGACAACCAAGTCTCTTCGCCCAGGCACTAGGAGGGGCTGATGAGTAGTGCTGAATAGATTGCAATTTATCGGGAACCTACTCTGTGCCAGCTAAGCGCTTTGCATCGATTTTAAAATTTTGTTAATTTTTTTGAGTTGGAGTCTCACTCTGTCACCCAGGCTGGAGTGCAGTGGCACGCTCACGGCCACTGCAGCCTCGACCTGCTGGGCTCAGGCGATCCTTCCTCCTCAGTTTTCCAAGTAGCTGGAACTTCAGGCGTGCACTACCACACCCAGCTGATTTTTTGATTTATTGTAGAGACGAGATCTCACCAAGTTGCCCAGGCTGGTCTTGAACCCCCAAGCTCAAGCAATCAATCCTCTTGCCTCGGCCTCCCAAAGAACTGGTGTTACAGGCTTGAGACACCATGCCCGGCCTTACATAGACTTTTTAAAAAACAGATTCTTAACTTTCTGTGTAAGGAACTGAAGCCCAGGAAGGTTAATAACTTGTTTATGGTTCCAGAGCAGGAATTAGAACCTACTCACTCTATTCCACGTGGAGTGAGGCCAGAATGTTGGAGTTCACCTCCCGCAAAAGCACCCCACTCACAGCTCGCAGCCCCACTGGGGAGTGTCCAGGATCAAAGGGTCATCCTGGGGACCGGGGTTACCCCTGGTCTGCTACAGAGCTCACACCATGGTCCCCTGCATGGTCACAAAGGCCAGCCATTCTGTTTCTGGGAAACCTGCTCCTGACTGATCTCACATCTTTCCTAGGACCCCAACCTCCCTCCCCAGCCTCCACCCAGCAAGTTCTTTAGTGTGAGAACCCCACTCCACTGTAGTCTCCTATACCAAGATGCCCCAGGGAGAGGAAAGAGGAACCACACCTTTAAAGACCCTCCATCACTTACCCGTTTTTGTTTTTGTTTTTGAGTTGGAGTCTCACTCTGTCGCCCAGACTGGAGTGCAGTGGCCGCT